TGTAGTAAGCTCAATGACACTGTCCTTAAATTTCTCTATGGCTTCTGGAAGTTCACCAGAGTCCGCTGCAGTTTCATAATTGTATTCCCAAGATTGCTGGAACCGATTGAAAATTGCAATATCTGGACCAGAGGAAAGCCCCCATACAGTCTTTCAAACACATGCCAGTACAAGTTATAATTCTAGTATACAAAATACAGAAGGTTCTTGTTTAATCTTTGTTCTAACAGCACACATGCTCCATTGCTGTAACTAATGTTGCTTGCTGTTGTATCAAAGCAAACTGCAATGACTCCCTACTCTTGCAGCAAATGTGACAGCAGAAGCTTGAGCCTCTTTGATGCTAAATATCAACCCTGGAACACCTAGGAGTTGGCTTACTCCTTTTCCAGAGTGTGTCACTGGAAGATGATCCACTTGTTCTTTTCCTGTGAGATTATTAAGGGATATTCCAGTGAACTACAAATGAGACTGTTGGTTGGAACAGTTCCTTTAAGTTTCTGACAAGTTCTTCTTGGAAGCGATGATGAGATCTTTGGACTGAGGAATGGTTGATGGTTAGCTCTTGCACATCATGACCAAGGCTGTGAGTTATGGCCATAAGGACAAATGTTGCCTTTCTGTCACTCAACTTAGTTCTGTCTATAGCTGCTGCTAAATTGGGAGAGATAATTTTTTGTCCTCAATTTAGGTTTAGAAAACGACAACTCTCCAATTGTTATTTTATCCTCACCACTGTTATTGGCATTGAACTTGTCAACCTCATGATCACTGCTGAGGAATGATTCCTAACAACTAACAGTTTCATTCAAGGTAAGCTTTTCCTGCTCTGCACACCATTTCCTATTCATACTTGTTTCACTTCTTTTCTTAGCTCTTGGTTTCTTTACAGAAAGAACCCTATCTATTTGGCCCCTTCACCCACGATATCCTCTTTCCATTTGAGCAAGAAGAAAGTCATTGTCTTCTGGGATCTTGATCAGTTTCGGGCATCTCTACGAGTGATGTCAGAGAGGTCATCCACATTACTGATAAACTCTGCTTCATTAGCTTGCTGTGTTTTAGTTTTCCTTTTTGAATTCTTTTAACTTTGCCCATTTTTCAAAAGCTTCTCCAGTTTGATAATGGCTTGGTGTTCTGGATGAACTGGAATTTGAGCATGTTAAATACTCATGAAATTGGTGGGAAAATTAAGAAGTGGGTAGAAAACTGGCTCAAGAGTAGTAAACTGGCAATTTCTGATATAATGTGACTAGTGGGTTCCTCAGGGGTTTAGTTTGGGGGATTTGTTATTCATTACTCATATCAGTGACTTCAATATATTTCCAAATGTGCTGATGCTGCTAGGAGTCTTGGAAGGACTAATGCTATTGAAAATGCTTCTCTTATTCAAAAGAGCTTTAAAGCCTTAGTAACTTGGCAAAAATTTGGAAAATGATAATCAATATTAAGAAGTGACAGCATATTTTTGTCAAAATCCCTGAAGCCCTTTAGACAATGTACATTAACTAGTAACAAGATCAATGGGATTTTAGATTGTATAATCAGAAATACTGAGTACAAGATGAGGGAAGTTATTGGTTCACTTTTAAAAAGTAAAAGCTGCGACTCCATTTCAAATAGTGCTATCAGTTTTAGCCACCTTATTTAGGAAAGGATATAGAAATTATGGAAAGGACTCAGAGAAAAGCTGCCAGAATGATAACAAGTTGGAAAGGTTATAGTATTGGATAGGTTGAAATCTCACCATGTTTTTGGTGGAGAGGAAAAAAGAGCTTGGGGGACAATTGACATTCTAAAGATTGTTTAAGGTTTAAATACCATAAAAATGATGTTTTCATAAAAGACTTTGCAGGCAGTAACACTAAAAGACAGAAGTTTAAGGTATATATAGAAACCCAGTTGTTACTTCAGTAAAGGTGGTGTTACTTTTCTAATATGTTGGTTGGCTTATGAAACAGTTTGCCTTCAGGTGTGACAGAAGCTACAATATTGAATGGGCTTAGGAAGAGCTTAGATAGGTATTTTAAGAGATAGGTGTTAGAAAGAAAATATATTTCTGTATGTAGTTTGGAGTACAATGATAGCAGAATATGGTATAGCATAGATGAAACAAATGGTCCATGGTTATACCTTGGAAAAGTGTTGAATATGAAAAGAACATATTGTGTGAGAGATGTGCAAGAAGCATTAGTGTTGTGGTAAATGAGAAAGAAGTAGGTACGATTGTTGATGAGATGCTTATAGCTCTAGTTGTATGCTATGTAGCTATGGGAAGAAAGCAGTCATAGTTACAGGTTCTACATGGAGGTGTTTTGAATAAAAAAAATCATAAATCACAAAACAATTTTAAGCTGATAATTTTTTTTTATTATTAAAACAATAAAATGTAGGTTCAAACTATACTTTTGTTTTGATTTCCACTCCCCATGGAATCAACTACACACACACACACACACATATATATATATATATATACACACAAACACACATAAATTTGGGTGCTATACCCTCACTCATTTACTTGGCTGCTTTGAATAGATATTAAAGAAGGAAGATGAAAGAAGAATTCAGCTATTGGAAGTTTGCTCTCTTATAGGTAATCTGCAGATTCCATGGACAACATTGAGAAGTAATATAACAATATTTGTGTAAATAAGACCCGTTAAGGCTGTTGGAGTTTGCACATCAGAGAAATCTGAGCTGCTTTGGAAATATAGCCAGACAAAATAACAGCTTGTCAGTCTGTAATGTAGCAACTTGTAAAAAAAATCGAAGAAAGACATCAAGATGGGAGGGTGACATGTAAATGAAATTCCTTGTACCTATATCCACAACATATTGTAACTTGCACTATATTACTGTTCATTAGGAGCATACCTAAATTTGGGACTGTCTTTAACATCAAAATACATTACAAAACTTCCTACCAATTGTCAAAACAAAACACATCTTAACATTATGTTATGAATGAAAAATAGTTACTATATACAATATTGACTTCCATGACTTAGTTTCAGTTATGGCTACGAAAGTTTTTAATAAATGAAAAAGTTTCACCTTTTATTAAAGTAGTAATGTTAATAAATAACTGAAATATATATATACCTTTGCAGTATTTTGTAATGATTCATGGTCAGCAGAGGCACTTGAATGTCAACATCAGCCTTGACTGGCTCAACATAACAAAGACTTGTAAATTCCTCACAATTGTTTCATTAAAAACTATACACAACATAAAACAAAAATAATGTAGACTGGGTAAGTTTATGTGCTCAGTAGTAAACACAATAATTTATAATATTACTCTTTTTCACACATTAATAAAGCTAACTTATTAGTAACATGCACCTGTAATTTACATGGTATAGCCTTTTAATAGTGCTATGGCTGCCCTACTCTCTTTAGTTAATTTATGTATGACTGCCAACTATTTATACCTTGCAGGTCAGCCTATGTATATGATATCATATATTTACAATGCTGCTTTACATATCTATTTGAAAAGAACAATTCAGCAAGAAACACATTTTACAAGGTTAAACCCAATAACATTCATTGTTAATACAATCAACACAATCTGTAAAGGGCATGCAATAGGTTCTCAAGCTTTCTGTCCACCATACTGTAACTATTTGTACATATTGTCCTTGAGCTGGTTGTGTTTATTAGTCTCTCTTACACTATCCAAATGTTTTTGTTTCTCAAATTACTTGTCCACATTAATGAGAATGTGGTAGATCCACCAATACTTGAAGTTAGGCATGCTCAGTATAAGTCTAGGTATTGTTCACCCCAATATATTTTTGTTTAGTTGCAGATAGTGATAAATTAGTTTTATATTCAGGAGCATTTAAGGTTGACTGAGCTCTAGGCCCAGAATTTTAGATGTACCTCTTCCTTCTCGAATAACTCACGAGGAAAATTATACATCAAAACGAGAAAAACAGTAAATTAAAATGCAATGAAATGGATGGAAATATGTTTTTATTATAAATTTATATTTTATAAAATACATCAACTAACAAAAGCCAGGGGAACCAAAAAGAAAAAATATGAATGAGGGGCACATTTTAGGGAAACTTTTTTTCAAATTTAAATTAATTTTGAGATTTTTTTCTTCCTAAGATGCATCTCTCAAATTGTACAAGCTTTGGAAGCCTATTGGTTAATACGCCTCTGCTTATACTAGTGTATAAAGTTATATAATTCATTGAGAATATAATTGTACTGTTTGTGCATGCCAAGTTTCAAGTGCCTATGCAGCTGTTATAATCAGCTGCCATATCACTGAAAGTTTAAAAATGAAAAAGATTAATTACCTATGTATTATTAAAACAAGTCTTTCAAATTATCAAGGTTCAATTTGCAGTTTGTTTTACCACAAAAAGTTAAAGAAATTGTGTGCCCTACTAACTGCTCTTCAAGCTTCAATGGTGAGATTTAACATGGTCTAACATAACATTCAGTGACCCACTAAAAATGCATAGCTTCTTTTCTAATTCTCATAAAACTACAATTCAGTGATAATGAAGACATTTTTTGGGCTTTATTTACATATTTTTTATTGACTTTGAGATTTTAAAATTTAGAATTTTTCTACTAAGTCCCTATTGTCATATAATTGACTATTTAGCTATGACATCAGTTTGACTTTTACTAGTAGCTTAGGTCTTGGAAGAGAAAATTGGTCATAAGGTAACTAGTTGTTAACATGTATTATGCAAATTATGTATGATAAAGTGATATGTAATGAATAATTACTCACCAACTGATACATGTATCATAAAAAACAAATTATGCTTAATAGGTTCCTAACAATATTTAAATATGTTAGGCTATATGAAAAATATTTCATGCACTAAAAATCTTTATTACTTGGTCAAATCAAATGATTTAACAGATGTTGTCTAATGAGCATAAAATAAAATATTAGTAGTAAATTTCATTGATCAAAAGAAATTTGTGATATAAATAATCTCAGATAAAATGCACCACTGTCTTTGATATTGAATTTGTGCTGTAAGATACAAATTATTTATTTTCTTTAAAAACATTTCTACAATATATTCAATAATGAAATCAAAAACAATTTAGCTTTCTTTTAACATGTTCTCCTGTAACACTGTGCACTTAAATTGTTCTTCAAATGCTTGAATAAAATATGTAGTTGCTTCTGTAACAGAGATATTCTTGCCAAGTTCCTGAGAAAGAGATGTCACACCCTTATCTGGGATACCACAGGGCACTATATGATGAAACCAGCTCATGTCAGTGTTACAGTTAATGGCCACACCATGGCTTGTTACATACCTACTTCCATGAATCCCTGTAATAGAAATAATATGAGTTGCCTGGAAATGTATTTATTACTGTTTTATAAAATGTTTCAGAAGCCAAAATACTTCTTTTCCATGATTTCAGACTTAAAACATAAATAGTTTTGATAAATATTTCTCTTTGTATATAGCTTGTTTTCCATCTTTAATACCCATGAATAAAACCTATATGTACATTATATATACTTTTAAGCAAGCAACAAAAATATATAACTTCTAAGAAACTGCCGGTAGGAACCCATTTGGTCCTTCAAGGCTACCTCTTCACACACACTCCTAATAAAAATTAAATCCATCCTTTATTTTTCAGGAAAGTATTAATTGTTATAAAGTGTTGGCCTCCACCACTACCAGTGGTAACTCAATCCATACGCTAATCCAGGAGTACATATTCTTCCAAAAAATCTTTCTTCCTGTAACCTCAATTAAGGATCTTAAAACTCTTACTTAACTTCTCACAATGTCTGACTGACAGACAACTGTGACAGCTTTGATAACAAAACCAGTCAATATACAGTTTCTTTTTTCCTTTTCTTGTCCTTTCAATCTTTGCCCTATTCCCTCCTTTCTCATGGCCCAAAATTTTTCCCATATTTTCAAAATCACAGAATTATTACCACACTTAATGAGAAGAATATTTACCACTGAACTAATCATTTTGTTAGAAAAATAAAACTTTCTTAATTGGATTCTAACCTGCATTTTCCTAATTTTAAGCTTGTGTCTTTCATACTATTGTCTTCATAATTCAGCACAGACCTTCATCCCACCAATACCCCACATAATATTGTAAATCTCAACAAGATCACCTTTTACCCTTCTTTTCTCAAGGGAAAATAAGTTATGCAATCTTAACCTATCCTCATAAGATAACATTTACATCCCAGGAATCATCTTAGTAGCTTTCTTTTGAACCTTTTCAATATCCATTCTAAGTGAGGACTAACTATTAAAGTTATGCAAGTTACATGAAAATTTCAGTTCCTAGAGTCCTATTGATTGATATCAATATTAGCTTTTTTGAATAATAAAATAAACATTCTGCTCTCATTGTAATGAACAATGTCATAATTGTGTCACTTATTTTAACTCTGCTAATAAGTGTGTTGCTATTTACCTATAGCAGCAATCTTTTTTTCTTTTACCCATACACCTGTATATGGTGAGGTAGATGCTTGAATTCCATAATATTTGCACATGTGTATTATGCATTGTTCTAGCTGATAAACATACCATCTCATACTCTTTTTAGAGCTGAAATCACCTAAATAGAGTATAGGATAAGCAACTAATTGTCCTGGACCATGAAATGTGATTAGACCACCTCGGTTAGTTCTGACAAAATCTGCTCCTAAAGCTCTGAGTTTTTGTTCTTCACTTGCTGTATATGCTGATGATCGAATTCCAACAGTATAAACTGGCTCATGTTCAACCAGAAGTAGAAAGTTACGTCTACAACCACCAAGTGGAATTTTTGGGGATGCTAAACTATCATGTAACTGTTGAACAAGTTTCTTTTGGATAGTTAGAGCTTGTTGATATGCCAAATATCCTAATTTTTTCAGAACAACAACTGGTTTCCCTGATATCATAATTTTGAATTATACATGCCTTATTTCAAAAAGCAAACACTGGTATTGGTAAAGTATCTTTAATGCAGCAAGTTGAACGTATTAAACCTAAGTAAGACTACAGCTTACAAGTTACAGTATTACTGTTTTAAGACCAAAACTAACTGAAGATGTATATATATATATTAATGATACTAAAAGTATAGGCTAGGCTATAATATATATTCTATATGGCAATTTCAACCAACTGCTCTGCAAAATCAAAAACGTGAAAGCTGACAATAATTGAATAACACGCTATATATATAGGGAGAGAGTGAATAAAATATCAAAATTATTCACTTACAACCTACATAATTTCTTCATTAATGAATTTTTTACTTAATATAGTTTTATTTAAATTAGTATTATTTTTAATTAGCTCTCGTTATCGTAACCTCCGCCAATTTCTCCATTTATTATACACGTACAACAAAACCAATGTTTTCACAAAATTACCCAGAATGCTTTGAGTCACTTGTTTCGAGTGATTCCACTTACGACCTAGTCATGAAAGTAGTTCACGTTTTTTACACCAGAGTTTTCTCGGGTAACGTAATCGAAATTTCTGTATTGGAAATTAACCGCCAATGAACATTTGACGCTACTAACCATACATGCCTTTCAACGTTTAGCGCTTTCGTTTAAAATGGACTTTGTTTAGGTAAGTGTTTGAAGTTGTTTATGATATATGTGTAACATAAATTCAGTTTAATACTGATATATATATATAATACAGAATAAAATTACTTTCGTGATTTGATTTTAAACGTTTTAGATTTATCATCTGCTTATTTTTGAACTTATGTACGGATACTCCCATAGGCCTATTTTAAATTGAACTTTTGAAAATTGAAGTTAACTTAGTTTGACTTTAAAAGTTTAATTATTCCATTTATTAGTTATTCAGTCTCACTGTCACTGAGACTCGTGACAATACTCAGTATTTCTCAATTCTAGTATGCAAATAATAGAGAAAATAGCAAGTTTAGTCATTTCTTACCTCATAACTTAATTAGTAAGTTAATATAACTTATAAGTATAACCAAATTAAAATTTTAAGCTAAGATCAACAAGATACCACTAAAAGAATAATGCATTATTGCTCTATCAAAGTTGCCTCATCCTCCAAGTCTAAAGTTGGTAATTTATAATTGTATTTTTCACTTATTTTAATACTGAATGGTGGACTCATGAATTTGTCCATTGGCTTAATGACTCAAGAATCATGACAAGAATACACATTTGTTTTCTTCACTGTAACTTGTAAGCTGTAAAAGTGTAAGTGTAACATTAGACATCATTCATTGATTCATCTCTTATTGCTCTATAGAGACTGAAATTTTAAACTAAAGTACTAAAACAGTAAAAACAAAACTTAGAAATAAACTTTCAAAGTTGAGAAATTGTCTTTGTAAAGATGGGGTACTACTACTACTACAGAACTGTGTTTGACTTAAGTTGATCAACTTTATTAACCTCAGTAAAATGTTAAACATGGAGCAAAGGATTTCAAAATTGACTTTTCACTGTAGAAAAAGATGTTTGAGAATATAAAACCAAGATTAACTTATCAGCAGAAATAAGTTAATTTCTGGCTTCAATTTATACATGGTAGCTGTGTTCATCACTGGCCCTTGTTAAGGTCTGAAAGTGATTTGAGTGGACAGTTATGTCATAAACACATTTAGTGCATGTTCTACTAGCATCTAGTGCACTTCATATGTTCGAAGATCTTACATTTGCATGTTTTGTCACTCAACTTGACACTTTTATTTGTAGAAACAATATAGCCATGGGTGCTGACAGTAAGGAAGATAAATTTATAAACAATAATTTATGATTTTAATGAAGGAATAACAATCCTTAAAGTTAAAGCTATAAAAAAATACTGCGAGCAAACTGTAGTCAGATTTGAAAATAGATAACTGTACTTAAGTATATACCTTGTAAAGTAAAGCTCATGACTGAATTTTCACATTCATTTACCAACATATGACAAAGTTTTAACTAATGGGTATTTGAAAACTTCAAATGTAGGTGGTTTATTGAAACTGCTTGTTCAAATAGTTACAAAATATTTGATCACTGTCATGTATAGGAAAACATTTTGGCATAAGGATTATTTGATATTATTAAATTCTTTATGCAAAAATTCATAAGTAATAAAAATCTGTAGGGACAGTGAAATCTCTCAAATTTTTTCTCTTGAAAAAAGGAAGAGATAGGGGGATCTGATTGAGGTGTTTAAGAATGTAATGAGAATTGATAGTGTTGATGCATCATCTTTGTTCATATTTAACAGTGAGAATAGAAGGACTAGGGGACACATAAATTTTGGCAAGGTAGGAGTCATCTTCATCTAAGACAGTTTCATTTTTCTAACAGGGTGGTTGGCCTTTAGAATGGGTTGCTTGTGGATGTTGTAGAAGCAGTAAATTTAAGTGAGTTTGAAAAAAGCTTGATAAGTATATGAATGATATGCACTGGCTTTAAGATTTAAAAAAAAAGTTTAGAAGATGGAACAGCTGAGATGGACCAAAATGTTATGTTATATGAATTAATAAATTTATAAAATGATCTTTAGACAATTTGGATGAAGCTTGTGCAGTTACAATGCAAAACAGTGTACGTTTTTTTTTAATGGTAAATTTCACAGTTGAAGTTACCATCACATTTGTTAATCAGCATATTTAAAAAATAAGAGTTTATGACCCTGGTGTTGTTGAACAGTAAATTTTGTTGTTTGAGTAGTCCAAAAATTTAGTAACATGATCTGAGTGTCTAAAGATGGTGAAAGTATCGTGTACTTGCGTACTCTGTAACCCAATCACTTTTGAACGGTGGACCTCTTTTCTTCATGGGCAAACTGGGTATCTACTGTAGTAAGTTGAATGTATTAAATTTAAGTAACCTGACAACTTAAGTTACAGTATTACTGTTTTAATACCAAAACTAACTTAAGATTTATATGTTTTAAAGATTCAAAAAAGTAAAACAGTATATGATAGGGGGGTCTCCAAACCTTTTTGGACAATGGCCGAGATGTAGATATTTTTAGGCTTTGTGGGCCGAATGGGTCATGGTAAAATTAAGTAGGGATGCATACATGATCAGAATACAACATCACTAATTTATTTCTCATAATCATAAGAGTACATATTGAAAATATTTAAGATGTGCAATCATCTTTTTTTTTAGCATTAGTGAGATTCATGAAACTGGTGCTTTACTGACAAAATTACACGGGCTGTATTGCAACTAGATTGGCTTTTTCTCAATTACATTTTATTTTTATAATATTAAAAAATTATATTGCATTATTAAACTGTTGGCGGGCCGGATAAACTGAAGTCGAGGACCATAGTTTGCTTATAGGTTATAATTTATAACACAATTCAACCAACTGCTCTGCAAAAATTAAAAAAACGTGAAAGCTGACAATAAATATATGGACAGACTGATTAGAATATTGAAATTATGCACTTACAACCTTCATAATTTCTTCTTTAATGAATGTTTATTTAATACAGTTTCACTTAAATCGAACCTGTGTTTTTCTGACATCATGAATGTACATATCTATGATAGTATAGCAATTTGAAAAAGACTGGACAGTCTTCCTTCCATTATTTTTTATTATAACAGTGAAGATAATTGAAGAAAGGAGGAGGCAATCCCTGAATTTGATTGCAAGATTGCTATTAAAGAGAAATTGTGATTTCTTAGTTGTAAATTTCATCACTTTCAAAAATACAAATTTAAGAAATGCTTAAATAATTCAAGTAGTTGCTAAAGATCAAGTCAGCATTAAACTTTATAGTCTGTTCTAAAGGTATGATTGTAAATAAGGACTCGACATCATAGCTAGGACAATAACAATTGCTATGAAACATCAATTTTTGTAGTTCATATAAGTACTTTATTTAGTGTTGAAAGTCTTCAGGAAATCAACTGAAAAAAATAGCCATAGCACAACTATTATTTCTAATATTTGGAACTATAGGTTGAAACAGACATCTTTTTTCTTTTTGCATTTTATGCAGAGCATTAAAATAATTCCTGGATGACTGTCTGAAGATCTAATGTTTAAATATTGTTTCTAAGTTAAAGCATTACCTTTCTCAAATACCTGTTAGTTATATCTTTGTCATATGTTGGTAAATATTCGTTGAGTGTAAAAAGTCAGTCATGAACCATACTTTATAGGGTGTATACACAAGTAAAGTTCAGATGTATTTTTAAATCTGACAGCTGCTTGCAGTATTTCTTTAGACTTAAGTTGTATTCCTTCAGTAACATCATAAAATGTTGCTCATAAATTTATCTGTCTTTGGTATCAGCACCTGTGATTATATTGTTAATTTGTGTGAACTTAGGAACATGCAAATTCAAGGTCTTGGAATAGATTAAGTTTACTGGAACATGTGTTGAGTTTGTGTTAAGGGCCAGTGATGAATAGGGCCACTTTATAAAAGAGAGCCTGCTCATACATAAATTGAGGCCAGGTTAACCAAGTAAGTTCTATTTAGAATTGCATCTCAAAACATGTGCATTTGATATTCTGTAATCAATAAAACTGATGCTGGCTTAATGATGAATATACATAACCTCAGTTATGTTATTGCTATTGGCAACAACAACAAAAATTGAAAGTATTTGAAAATGTGTGCAGTGAAGTGTTGTTTTGCACTTCATATAACATAAGTTGCAATATATAAGCTTAAATTCAAAATTATAATTGCTAATGAGTTGTATTTCACTAACAGATATACCTGTGCGATGCATGGTGAGAGGTTTATGAAAATTGTTTTGTTCCGAAATATGCAACGTAAAGCTTAAAAGTAAAATAAGAATACATTTATCCATGTTCGCTAGGCTTGGTTATATAAGTAACATTTTATCTTGTACTTTAGGTTTTTTTAGGAAAAAGCTGTAAGTAATGTGATTTGTAAACATTTCACTTAATATAAATGTGTATTTTGATAGTATGTATAAACAATGTGTGTAAAAAACCCTTGAATGATTGATGACATTTGAAAATGGAATGCAATTGTATAATTAATGTTTTACCAGTTATGAATATAAAGTGTTACTGTTTTTGTCCTAAATATGCCAGTAATGATTGAAAGTACATAGACTGTACGCTGTATGTAGACTCCATGTAATAAAGGAAACTGGAAAAAATCCAACATTACCCCTAATGTCTTACCCCATTTAGCCAACACTGGAGTTATGAAATCTAAGCCTTTTAAAACTAAAATTTTAAACATCCCAAACCATTTTTGATTGTGTAAATCATATTTGACAACTTAGAGCATGTAGATAAGTTTTATATTATCACAGATATTCAGTTTGATTTTAGAAAGTGAAGATATTGTTTTACAAATTTAGGGCACTTAGTCTTTCAGGAAAGACTAAGATGTCATGTTAGAGGCTTGTTTGGAGGATGGAATCTGTTAGGGCAGGAGCTAACCTATTTAAATGGATTGAAAGCTGTTTCAGGGAAAGAAGTGTTAAAAATGATGTAAAAATACAGTAGATTCATGTAAAAAGTGGTGTATCTCATTATTCTATGATAGGTCCTTTGCTATATCTTATTTTGTCTCATATGTAATGGAATATTCAGTAAATTGGTTAAATTTGCAGATGATATTAAATTAATGAGTATTTCAAATTGTACTAAAGATGTTTTAGTTTTGCAGAGACACTTGGACTAGTAGCTGGTAGGCTGAGCTTGGGTGGGTGGGAGAACATGCTTGAGGTTTACAAGATTATTTGTTTGGAATTCATAAATCCAGTTTGTAGCCAATAAGAGTAAAGGACACAGGTTTAAAGTATCCAGGTTTATCCCTATATCTCATGCACAAAGTCAGTGTGCCAGTTCAGGACTAAAAATACAGTGATAGAAATACCATGAACCAGTATGCAGACAATTTGTCAGATGCATGCAAGCAGTGTAAACAACATTTGCTTGTACTCGACACATAGTAAATAGCATATTAGGGAGTGTAATCACCTGTCAAAAGAAGTTTTGGGTATATATTGTGTAGTTTTACTTAACAGGAAAGAATATTGGCAAACAAAACATATATGTACTAATACACTAAAAAAGACTTGGGGAAAACGTTGGTATGGAAAAATTTAGTTAAGACAATATTATTTTTCTAATAGGGTGGCATAGCTTAGATGGGCAAATAACTTTCTTCCCTGGAAATGGGAAAAAATGTAACTTGCAATCAGATATCAGAAGGCTGTCTAACCCATCAAGGTCACTGAACAGCATCCCACACATAATATTGACATTACATATGATTAACGAGGAACCATTTGGTTCTTCAAGGCTATTATTTCACACCTCATTTCATAAGATAATCACCCTGTTAGAAAATTAAAGCTCTTTTAACTACAGCTGTGAATTGTCTGGATAACTTACTATTATTGAGAAAATAAGAGATCTTGCCCTCTCTCCAAAGATAACCTATTCATCTCAGTGATCATTTTAGTAACCTTTTCCTCTAAGTCAATATCCTTCCTTAGTATTAAGGAGGCAAAAATTGTACATAGTATTCCATGTTAGGCCTAACTTTTGTTTAGAGACAGTTACATTATTTGATCTGAAGTCAGTATGTTTATAAATACTTCATAAAATTTAGTTTACTACAACAGAGCACTGCCTCAATGGCATGAATACCTACAACATTTAAGCACAGTAAGGAGCCTGCCAGTTCATTGAAGCTGCATCCACTGTCAATGGCTGAGCTAAACTAAAATAAACAACTAAAAGCCAGGAGTATACCATTGTGCTAAGATCCTTGTCTTCATTCATGGTATTGAGTGGATTCCCATCAATATTAAATGTGTGATTCTAGTTATGATGACCCAAATGCATTATTTTTGTAATTAGACTGGGGTATATGTGCTTCCAATAAATTAGTTTTTTTTCAAAAATTCATTCCTAATTTCATATCTGACTATTTGACAACAGTGTAATAAGTGGTAATGTTCACATGGCTTCAGCAACAAAAACCAGTAATCAAAATACAGTTTCTTTTTCCTTATTTGTATTTTCACTTTCATTGCTCTTTTCTTTCCAGTTTTTAAACTTTATAGAACCCCAAATTCCTCCTGAATTTTCAAAATTGCAAGATTAATCTGTAAACAACATATCTGACATCTAAATTCAGCCTGTTTTTATTCCCTGATGGAATACCTTTTTACAGTGGCATATACATTAATCCAAACTGTCAGTCTGTATGTATCCTTTAAAAAAAATAACCCTGCATGAAAATAAGTGCATCTGGCTATTAATTTTATAAGAGTGGTTTACTTTTATGCTTCTTTGTATATTGACAACATTATCTACATGTAGAAATCTAACTTTTTTGGATTATTATGTCTTAGATATGTATGCACCTATTTTTTATTCTTTACAGGATTTTCTCAGAAATTAGAATATTTAATATATTCTATATGAATTTTTACACAGCCTAAAACTAAAAAATTATGTATATTTTTTACAGGTGTTATCAGTATTTTTCATTATTCCAGGTAACTACTTTGTAGGAGTGGAGTGATAAAATGTTTTGTTGGCATGAGTAGAACAGTGACCAAGATCTGAATATTGTAAATTTCTGTGGACACGTACATATAGGTCTAATTAGCCAAGGCAACTAACATGGCAGAAGGGAGTTCCTTAGATGTGGGATCATCTGGAACTGGAGGTTTGATTATTCTTAAAATCTTGTTACTAAACTTGTTATGTGAAGTGTAAAACTGAACTTATACATTTAATTCTGTTTCTGTTGTACTCATGTGTGTTACTGTTAGTTAATGGTATTAATAAGTCACTTGTGTTGTTTGTAGTTATATATTTTACATTTGTGTCACAAACCAAGACCAAGACTATTGCATTACAAGGCTTCTCTTAGCACCTGTTAAGCATCTTGTAGCTTGCAACATGTTATGACACTGCCTGGCCATGTGCCTTCTTGCGTGCTGGATGTCCCCTGTTGAAACACTTCAGATGAAATCAAGAAATCTGTTATTACTTCTGGCTCATTTTTGTCATGTGTTATGACTGTTTGTTTTAATTGTGATAAAACATTAATGCTAGTTTTCATGGATTTCTTATGAAAGATGAACAGTTGGGCTGATAGATGCATTCCTTCTCCAATTACTGCCATCATTGAGTACAAGAAATGCAAGTGACAGTGAAATGTTGCCAAGTGAACATGTGGTGTGAGATAAAAGAAAACAATAAAAGAATAAACTCATAAATGATATCATCTGTTCAACATCTGCTTGGTATTCTAAAAGTGGAACTGACATTGAGACATGCAATTAATACTCTTCATCAGATTCAAACCAGAACAATTTAATCATAGAACTTGAAGCTACCATTGAAAAACAGAGAAAGATGATAAATGAAAAAAATCAAGAAAACTGCTTTAAGAGCAAGAATACTTTGCCGAAAGAAAGAAGGATTTGAACAGTGAGGTCAAGGTACAAAAATATCAAGGACCCAGCATAAAGATGCAGAACTGAAATTAAGATACAAATAGTCTACATTACTCAGTTATCTAATATTTCAGTTAAATTACTTACCTGAAAACTAAGTAGTTTCTTATAATATCACTATAAGTCAAAACAACATACTGGGTATGATGTCTAAAAGATTTATTTTTAAATTTATGATAGGAATTGAATGAAACTGACGGATGCACCTTCTTTCACGAAATAATTGCTTTAGCAATTTTTTGTCATTGTATATCTTTTAACATCCGTAACATTTTCTAAAACTTAAACCTCTTTTTGTGACCATCAACTTGTTCTTTTGTCTTCAGGAAGACTTGTGCATGTGGCTTGCTTGTATCTTCTGACCAGCATAATAATCGACAGAACTGAAATTATGTTATTGATTTTTTTGTAATGTACAAAGTATACTCAATCATAACATAGTGTTATACTATTTAAAAATAATTTTCCATCAGCCCAATTACAGTGCAAATACCATTTGGATTAGTCTTGTAGTGTAATAGTTTTAAACTGAGACAACCATCTCAGCAACTTTTATCATATTTTGCTTTAACTTAATTTCTTGGTGTATGTAAACATTTTATGTATGTTTTAAATTTGTGACTTCAGTAATTTTTATGTGTTGTACTTTCCATACAAGAAATTTCTAGGTATTGAAACTCAATTGTACAATATTTTATGTTTACAAAAATTGTGAAATTTAAGGTTCATACTAATTTTGTAAGTAATATATACGTATAAAGAATATAATTAATCTACATGCAACATGAAATTTCACCTTGCAAAGAAGCTTTGAAATAAATTATTTTTGTACAAGATATTTTATGTCAATTTAAGAAAGATTCATTTTTATTTTTGAATTATTTTGCTGATTTATTTGTTTCATAAGTTTTGACCTAAGTTTTTTGAAACACTTTAGTTTGCTATGAAGCCAGGATATTAACTGTACATAACTAAACTAAGGGAAAAGTTGCATACGAAACATTTTTTGGTTGTGGTTTTTTGTATTTGAATGCACAAAGTTTATAATATAATTGTGCATTTAGCTTTAATAATGTTGCCTGATTTAAAATTTTTTTTTATCATATACATGTTTCAAAACAAGCTTATGATACTTTTCAAATTAAAACAAAACTATAAAATAATTCCTCAAATATACTCATTGTTATTCTACATTGTCTTATTAATTCTGAGTCTGCCGAATAACATCTTTGAAAATCATGTTTGAAATTTGTAAACACAACATAGGCTGCAAAGCAAATTTGAAAATGGGAGGAGGAGATACATAGGCCTACTACGTGGTATATAAATATAGCAGTTTATCTATCTATTTATGATATATATATATATATATACATATCTGGAAAGGGTGTTTGGAGGAATGGGGACTAAGGGGCTATAGTACATCTTAACAGTTTTTTAATGGGAGTCCCAGCTATTCCCCTCCTGCTCTACCTACTTTACTTTTATGAACAACTAACTTGTGTCCAAAATTGTGCTTCTGTCAGAAACAATATTTCAAAGAGAAGATACAATAACTTATTCATAGATACACATCACAAAAAGTGGACAGGTGTATTGATTCATATGCATACAGGTATAAATTGAACTGATTATTCATGTCATTAATATGTAACATTTACAGATTCCACCTATTGCTATGTTTCCTACTTAGTCCTCCTTTCTAATTTTTTAACATAGGCCTAAAAATAGCTAAAATTGCCACCTGTGCACTACCTTATCTGCATGTACTGTTTTAAAGAGAAGTGTAACAATACTAAATTTTTTATAGGTTATCAGTTAATGTTACATGTGATGTTGTAAATACATTTTTGACAAAGTTTATTACTTGTATTGAATTAAGCTGAACATATATAATGTTGTACAGTCCACATTCATTTATATTGTTTTACTAATTATCTTTGAATATTGTTTTAGCTCCAGGAATTTTGCTGGATAGCAGAATCTGTATCATTGGGGAGAAACTGAAGGATGATAAAGATATTATTAAAGCTGCAGAAGTGAGTGGTGATAGCTTTGTTTATGTCAGTGTCTTACATTGTGCTATATGGTGGATTAGTACCTCTTCAAATAGCATTTATTTATTTATAATGTACCTAAGTTTTTACCATGAAAGATATGGAATATGTAGAGACAGTCTACAGCTGGGTGATTAATTCTATTAATCTGTTATCCGTGAACATTGATTACATCAAATAATATCATGCAAAATAATTGCTCATTCAAAATTACTGTTAAATCAGTTAATATCACAAAAATAATATAGTAATGAAAATTCGTATTTTTGACTAGTCTAAGTATCCAGTATTCAAATAATTGATATAGCAATTTTTGACTAGTCCAACCATCCATGTAATCAAAATATTATGTTTATTACTTCTCAAATTCTCATTATTTCAATTAAATTTTGTTGAGTTTTCAGTTCAAATTCAGAAAATCATTTCTTATAGTTAATCTAAATGTTTTTCAATTTTGGGCTGGTACGGTCTGATGATTACGGGGTTTGCCTCATGTTTCAAGGGTCTTTGCTACTAAACATGCTCGACCTTTCAGTCTTGGGAATGTTATATTTTTTCCTTGTTCTGGAGTTATGGCGAAGCTACTAAACCACTATTCCTAACTTAGAACTGTCAACTAGAGATGGTAGCTGACTGGCAGCACCCACCTCTAACTTTTTGGCTACCTTAGGGTTAAATAAAGTGTAAGTTTACTGTTTACACTTTATTATGTTTCTAATTTCAAATTACATAACAATATTCTTTAATGATGCTTAAGATGTAAAATTATTGTTCTTACATAGTGTACGTTGTAACTTATAATTTGCACAACAGTATTTTTTGGTGTTATATGAATTATAAATTTACTTTTTCAAGATTGTATATATGTTATGTTTGTAACACCACACCTATTTTTTTCTGGAATTTGTGTTCCAGTAGAAGTTGTGATATAGATACTGGCACATCTTGAACCTTCAATTTTGATCTCTGGGTAAATGCTTGCAAATCAATATTCTTTATCTACTTAGTCATGCCAGCCTTTTAACCATGTGATAAATTGCAAATGTAAATGCCTTACTTGATTTTCAATAAACAATACATTAATAAAAATATAATATGCAAGTATCAGTCACTTTATTAAGGTAAGTAAACCAAAATTCTACATAAATTTTCATCTACATTATACCTTATAATGTGGAATTATCACACAAACATACTCTGTAATTGGTAACGTATAAATAGGCTGTAGTTGTGATACAGCTTTCATAAGGCTTAGGAAACAAAATTGCATATGTGGTAAGTTGATTGCTTTTTCATAAAATGTCCAGAGAACATAACCAGATATTTACTGATAACCGATGTTTTCTCCCCTATCATTCACATGAGCAAGTTTCATAATGAACTTGTTTACTGAACATAACATGGATTGGAATTAACTTTGTACTTTTTTTTCTATAATTATCCTGCTAATTTTTATATTAATAAGCTCTTTAGGATTATTTATGCTATATTGCTTCTCAGTATTTTTGTATAAATTTCACATTTTTGTTTTCCCAAAACACAAAATTATTTTTTTTATTTCATTTGTTTATAGTGATACTTGTTTCAGTTTATTGATGGGAAGTATGCCAATATTATTTTTTGGGTAACAGTTTCTCACAAAGTATACATTTGTTTAATGTAAGTTTAAAAAGGCAGTGATTTCTGTACTAATAATAAATGTAATAGCACTTAGCTCATTATGTTTGTCAGCTTGTCACTCTTGATGCCATTGTTAAGTAATAAACTTTCTCGTTTCAAGAAATATCTTAATGTGCAGGTGTTAGTAGGCCTCTTATACCTACATTTTCCTATGTTATGATCAGTGAGTGTTCTCTAGTCCACTTCAAAATTCTTGCAAATAGCCAATTAATTTCTTTGCAAATGCACATAATTATCAATTATAAAAAAATATGGAAAATTGGGGTCCATTTTATTCAATTAAATTTTTTTTTCACTACAACTTAGAGTTCAGAAGTACAGCAGTGCATACATATTAATGTGAAACAAAAAAATTACAATCTTTATATTAATTTAGTTTAATTAATTTGAAAGTTATGATTTTATTAATTTGGATTTTGATAGGGTATATTAAAAATGCATAACTGACAAATACAATGTATAGTGTATGTTAATATATGATACTTCTATAAAAACTATTAAATGTTGTTATAGAGTAGATTTGACATGGTGCATATAAATCAATTACAATTACTATTTCCCTAGTGTATTTTAATTGATTGTATTTTGGCAGCTTGTATTAGAAACAAGGATTTCAGCCTATAACTCACAGGCCATATGTGAAGTAAATATGCTATAAGAAAAGAAATTACATAATTCTTGATTTGCTAGAATAGACTCTATTTTGATAATGGCATGCACATTGCAGTGTATTAATATTGAATAAAAAAATATTAGAAAATAAAAATACTACTTACCTAGCCCTAATTTATTTCTGCCCATGTTTAATACTACAAACATGGAGAATGTATTTTAAAACCTAATGTGGAATGACAAATAAACATGTAATAAGAATAGAGATGTCGAATTTGCATGTTGTTGATTCAAACTAGTAAATTGTTGGCTCACTATGCACTGGAATGTTGTTATGTACAAAATAATGACTAATTTTATATACATGAAAATCTTTTGCTCGTCTATCGCTGACACGTAAATTGGCGTAAGTTATTAAATTTATTGCCCTTTCATATATTGAAGATTTACCTAAAGTATGCACACTTGCTTGTATGTTTAAGTGTAGGTGTGTACATTCTGTTCAATGCAAAGTGACTGATCACCTATGAATGACAAAAAACTAAAAATGGTCCACTTTTACTCTTAGGTGAAGCTGTAGTAAAACTTTTAGAATAATAGCTCACTTTACTTTTTTCATGAGTGTGCTCAAAATGTTTTGCACATATGGTTTATATTTACACCAAATGAGACTCCCAACTGTAGGTTGAAAAGATTATCAGTGTACCAAATTTGAAAAAAATGCATAAAAGGTAAGTATGTTTTTCTGTTAAATATAGTTTTCATACATTTCGTGAGAATAAAAAACTAAGGAAGAACCTCAATAAAAATTGAATATATCTCAGATAATTCTTAAACCTTTCTATACGGGTCACAGGTGAAAGGCCATGTCATCTCGTTTGTTGACTCACATTCAAAATTTTATTGAACTACTATTTCATGAATTTATGTCATTAAGTTTGGTATCAAACTGTAGGTTATAACTAAAGTCTTAGAACTATACATTACTCAATTTGTTTATTTAAAAGTAAATATAAAACAAACAGATAAAAATTGATTTTTGTGTGTCATGTGGTATGTTGAATGAAGCACTGGTTCAAATTAGATGTTTGTGAAGTCAAAAATACTAAGTCTATAGTTTCATATGAATTAGAAACTCAAATTACAGATATTGACAAGCTAGAATATAAAATAATAAGTTCTTATCTTTTCAATTTGCTAAGATATTGCTCATGTAATAAATCAAACATAGTGGTACCCTGCTCACCTCTTTCCATTTTAAGAAATGCTCCCTTATATACACTTACTTCTATATATGGCAGGGATAACCAATCGGAAGCTCAGAATGTCCCCCTAGTGGTTTTCTAAGCCTTTCTAACGTATCTAGCATCATTTCTTGATTTTAAATCAAGATTTCAGTGAGGTAGGTTGTGTCTTTAGTCTGCTCGAAATGTCATTTTTTTTAGAATAAAATACATCTTAGTTACTAAGCTTGATAAATTATAGTTGAATTCTATGGTATTGATGTAGTAATTTATGATTTTTTTAGTTATTCAAATGTATATCTAAAACCTAAAAAAATATTTTGTATCATATCCTCCACGTGCAAAATTTTTAAAGGCTTAGCAACCTACATCAAGCAGCAACCAGTTACAAAGGTCGTAACTAGAAGAGATAATTGTTTGCTTTACTTTGTTATTTACTGTTGTATGTTTTAAGAAAAATAACTTTAAGAACTTATTTCAAAATAGCAATAATCTATGTATGTATATAATGTATAATAATTGAAATGTGACTGTATTTTACAAAATACTAGTAGACTAAAACACAGCCAAATCAAGTTACATTGTACAGACCAAAGGTCACCTTTATGTTATTTAGTACGGTAACATGAGTGCACGTGAGCCACGTCGTTGTAACTTTTGTATTGTTAGCCAGGCACGGCTGAAAGGTCAATATAATAAATATACATAAATGTATAATGTTATGAGATTTAAGCTATTTTATCTAAACATTTATGTTTTATGTTATAATTTGTGTTCATTCTAGAATGAAAGATGCATAATTTATGTTTATTTCCTAATTTTTTTATGGTGGTTGCAAGATCAGTCAAATTTACCGAATCCATACAGAGATTAATTACTGAAAATAACAGAAAAAATATAAAATTTTTCTTAAGAAACGTTTGATAGCTATTTGGCCATTATAAAGATGTCGATTGTGAAATTTTGAAATTTTCTGATACATAAAAATATTTTTTAATGTTAAGATGAATATTACTCTGCATGATAGGCAACATGTGAAAAGAAAAATGGCATAAGAAAACATTGTTTTACAAACCTTAAGACTTAATAAAAAAAATTTTAGATTTTGCATATGAAAGCATTATAATGTTTACTGATAAACTGCCAAATTTCATTAAAATTCACTTACTAATTTAAAAGTTATAGCATGAAAACTGTAACAAGCACAAAATGGTTATGAGGTCAGTCCCAAGGACTGATCCCTGGTTGAAAGAGCTAATGGATTGCCTTGAAATTTGGTATATGAAGTAAGACTACAGTAGATCACATCTGCTGAAAATTTAGGATAGTTTGGATCACCACAGTCCGAGATACAGAAGGTGGAAAATTGCTAAACTTTTACTCCTGTTAATAACACACACTATGTCTTGCAGCAGGTTGTTTTGACCTTGTGAAACACTACTGTGTGTCTTGATATTTTTCTTATTTATAATCAACGTTTTGAAAAAAACAACATTATTTAAACAATGTAATCCTCTTTTGAGGGAACTTAAGACATTTTCAAACAACTTTTTTATATATAGTTAATGAACTTTATTAATCTTTAAAGAACTCACAATTGAAAGATTAAAAAAACACCACTAATTTCAGCCATAGGCCTACATCAGGTGTCAGTTAATTGAATAATACATCTTTCATTGTTGGATTTAAATTAATTTTTGAAATGCATTTAATAATATGTGAAATTTGTCCTACAATAGAAAAATAAAGAAATGTTAGAGATCCCTAGATGAAGTGCTTATTGTAAACATTTTTCAAACATATCAAGAAAAAATGTATTAATAGCTAAACCTTTCTGGCTGTTAATAATTTTTTTTTAATAAGTACTCAATTTCTTGAATATATTTTGAAAAATTTTCTTTCAACTATGAAAGATATATTCAATCAACTAACACCTAATATACACCTATGACCAAAACTTGTGTTGTTTTTAAATCTTTTATTTGTGAGGTTTGTGTTTTTAGGGTAATAAAGTTTATTAAATTTATATAAAAAGTTATTTGAAAATATCATGAAGTAATGCTTATTTTCATGAACAATATGAAGTAGTTTTAGTGCAGTAGTCTTGTGGAAATTTCTGGAGAGAAATCTATTGAATGGTATTAATAGTATTTTCAGCTTGTTACAAGTTTTATATTACATTGTATATATAACATGCATTTTCATGTACAACAGCTTAGGATTAAAAAAGTAAAGTTAATTCTAAATCATTTTACTTAAAGATGTCTATTATGTTAAAGAAAAGAGTAGCTTAAAAATATCTTAAACCTCAAAACAATCTGAAAATAGGAAGTATGGTCATATGCAAGAATAATCGATTCATTGAATGTAATCTGTTAATGAGCCTGATTAGTTGATCAACAAATTCCACTAATTGCCCAACTTTAAACTTTTTCTTTTTTTTTCAAGCCACTTAGTAAATATTGTATAAGTAAACAGTTGAATATGAAATTTTTGAATGATAAAGTAGATATAGCAGGAGAATCTTTACGTATTATTCAGTTCTAACAAATGAAATGCTAATTAATTTTGACATGTTTACATTTTAGAGTTTTCAAGTTCCAGTAGTCTGTAGTCCGTCAGGGAAAGATATTCTTGCTGATGGCAAGGATTATGATAACGTGTTTGTACTTGATGAATTTGAAGGACAAATTTATGATACCCTTGTCAGGTCTGGTCAGAGAATATTGGGATCAACAGCTTTAATTCAATTTGCTGAAGCAAATGAGGTAAATCATTGCAACATATGTACTGGTATATTTAAGCACACTTACATTGTACAGGTATTTAAGAAATTAAGTCTTAAATTAATGAATAAGTTGTTCATAGTATTTAACTTTTTTAGATTTTAGGTGAATTTGATAGGATACAGCTGAGAATCGCAAAAGAACTCTTATAATTTTCTCTGTTTAATGTTAATAAGTTCAGTTTAACCCTTTCTAGACCAATGAAAACCTTTCTGGTGTGCAGTGCATATCAGACATGAGAATTTAAGATAAAATAATACTTCTAAGTCTGTTTCAACAGCCCCCCAGTGGCACAGCGGTATGTCTGCGGACTTTACAACGCTAGAAACCGGGTTTCGATACCCATGGTGGGCAGAGCACAGATAGCCCATTGTGTAGTTTTGTGCTTAACTTTAAACAAACAAACAAACCTGTTTCAACAATGTTTACTCAAAAACGTTTTATAATTTAATTAGTGTAATTTTAAAAGATAAATGAAAAAATGTTCAAATCTCCATTTCTGCACAGGTCCGAGGAGTCTTGCCTTTAAACAATATTCTCATGGCTTTTTGTTCTGCCCATCCCATAGCAATGGTTTTTATTTGCTAAGATTATATCACCCTTTGAGAATCAGTGAACCAATTCTTGTTTTTCTCATAATTTTCGTTTTCTGTCTGATGATTTATTATTACAGGCCTTTATTCACAACATTTTGTGAGATCATAAATATGTGTAATGAAAATCAAGGAAGTTGAAATAGACTGGAACTTTCTAATAAAAAGAAAAATTAAAACTTAAGGTGAAAGGAAATATTTCTAATGTTTTTAAAATGCTTATAACAAAATTTTGGTAATTTGAGACATAAAAAAATCATAGAAAATATAAAAACATGATTTCATAAAAAAAAACTAGTTACTTTTTAGTAAGTTTGTCCTTAGTTTCATTCAGTTTGGATAAATTATTCTGTATCACCACCACCCTCACCCTAGTCTGGAAAGGGTTAGAAATGATAATTGAAATATAGTATATTCTACACTGTATTTTACATATGCTCACTTTCTTTTCAAAAGTTATCTCAGGTTAATATTAAAAGTTATGAATAGCCTTAAGCTCTCTTCAATTTCCCATTTTATAAATATCTCACTTTTAGTACATATTGAATGATATATTTGGTTGGGTTAATGTTATCAAATTTTTGTTTTTCTAGCCACTTCCATATAATACTCGTCCTTTGTATACGACATCAATGCGTCAACTGATTCTTTGTTTTACTGGCTTCAGGAAGAAAGAAGATATGGTGAGTGTTAATGAAATAAAACAACAAACAAAATTGTTGTTTTTCTAGAATGATCTAGTTTGATAATATATCCACAAAGAAGAAGTGATAAGTGATAAAATAAATTCTACAAGTTTTTGGGTAAATGTTTTCAAATACCTAAAGTAAGTCACTGATTCTGAAACACATTTGTTGTTTGTGAGTCTATATTGTAATACAAAATAGTCCAGTTATGTATGTATTTTATATGAAAATTACAAATACATCCTGATTTTATAAAAATTGGTGTAAGTCCTGGATATAAACATATATTTTATTCTCAGTTACTTTAAGTGAGTTCTTAAATTATAATTTTTGAGTTAACTGTTGTGATCTAGCAACTTTCTCAGGTTATGAAATAAAATAGATAAGTATTATGAAAAATATATGTATGTGTGTGTATATATATATATATATATTTAACTGTTATTAGATACTGATACAACTGGCTAGATAATGTTTATTGCTTTCTGAAAGGGTCCAAAGGTTGCTTGAGGGGTCATTTGTTTTAACCACTTGCAACCCTATATAGTAGTATGTTGTCTGTCTGTCACTCAGTAGACACTAGAATGATGTCACATGAGGGATGCTTAATGTTGCAATATGTACTGTTCTGACAGTAAAATGTGTGCATGTCATGAATCACGAGAAGAATTATGCACTCTGTAGGTAACAACACAGCATGACATATGATCTTAAAAGCAAGAAATAAAAATATTTGTTACTGTTAATTCTGATTTTATTTGCTCTTGAAACAGAACACTTTTGAGGACCCTGCACAAGTACATCTAGTATTATACTTCTTTCTAGAGTGAAAACATTTTTATTAAGTTTGAAATAGTAGTTTGCATTTTAGCAAATTACTGATGATACTTGAAAAATATGGATAAAATGCTTAAGATTTCAATATTGGATTAGTATACTCCATTTTAAAATGCTTCTCGAAAGATTTTGAATGAAATTGGTTGTAAATGAGATTATTATGTGGAACATTAACAAAAAATTAAGCAGATGTTAAATTTCTTAATAATACAGGATACATACGTGTCCTGGAAACTTGTGGAATCTGGAAATATTCTTTCATGCATGGAAAGTCATGGACATTTAGTGAAAATGAGTTTAAAGATTGACTGTCAGTTTAAATGGTAAATTAAAGAAGTTTTCAGCATGTATTTATAAACCCACGCTTGCCCTCACTCTGATAAGTGATACAAACTATAGTTTGTACTTTATCATAGAATCTTGTGAGAAGACATCAACCTAGTCTGATACTAGGCTTCTGTGACAACATCACTGTTGTTCATGGTGTTTAATGTTAGGTGGAGACCAGCATTGTTAAAGCTATGGAATAGCACATATGTGATATACCCCATGCATATTATGTTTAATTGATCAGATTACCTTCATTTATTTGAACTAACATTCTTACTAGTTTGAATTTGAGATATTGTATTGAAGAAACTCGAGGTCTCGGTAATCATTCGTACTGTGGAAAAGCAAGGAATGCGTAATGATACTTCTGTTATGTAAGAGCTGAAGCATATCATGTGAAGACCTTCATTAATGATGAAAATACAGTAGACTGAAGTTACTTTATTAGCATAAATTGTATCAGAACTTATCTCAACTTGACTCATTTAGGATATTTGTTATTAATTATTAAGCAATTTGAAGAATTAATACTGAAAAATTTTGCTTTGTATTTGCATAGAAATGTTTAAAATGTGAAATTTATATTAAGTTTTGCATAATTATTGTGTGATATATATGTAGGAATTTATTATATAGTCTACATGATGTTCCAGACTGAAATGTTTAATCATAAAAAACATGACTTAAAGTCCTAGCAAAAGTCATGGAATTTTATCTCCCCTAGAGAGTACAAACCCTATGATACAACTAAATCTTTTAAAGAACATTAATATAAACATCTGTTATTTAAATATTAAAAGCCTAGTTAATTAAATGTTAGAACGTTTATTTGATGATCAGATGTAACCAAACAAAAACAGTTTGTGCATGGAATCTGAAATGTTTGCAAATCATAAAACAGCTGTTTTTTTACCAATTTTGTTTCAGATAGATCTCCACAATAAAACTCAGTTGCATGAAATACATAATACTCAGCATCTGTTCAGTTTGATTGCAACTGTTTTGATTGCTGTAAAATTGCCTAGTGTAAGGCATTAAGCTGTAACTGTGGTGCACTTCAATAAATTTTATTATTTTCTTCCACATAATTTGTAGAAATACAACAGAAGAAGGTGTGGTGCTTTCAAAATTCATTAGTTAGCAGACCTCAAGGCATTAGTCACCTTATACTAAATAAGGAACCACTTGGCACAGTATGTCTAATCATGCTGCCAACAAAACTGCATTGCAAAGGTTTGATGCGAGTTTATTCAGCTTACCCACATGCTAATTGCCTCGGCAGTCTGTCAGATTAGTTAAGCTGTGGTGCTGCTATCCTCATTTCCTGGTACTTAGTCTTGGTATGCCATAAAGCTGAAATGGGAATCTGAAAACTAGCATGAAACTGGCAAATAAACAATCTTGTTAATTACAATCATAGTAATCTTCTATGCTCAGAATATTGCAATATAAATAAATGAAATGCATGCATTATCAGTGTATCATAGATTTTACTTGAAAAACAAGCAGTTTGTTAGTTTGCTAATGTTAATTTTAAGCATTCAAGTATATAAAGTATTTCATTCATGTTGCACTAACTCTACAGACTTTTCCAAATACCATCCTGACTATAACCACCCTGTGTATTTATACATGTTTACAATTATTGTAGCTTTATTTAGAGCTTAAAATTAAAGCATTCCAAATGTAGTGTACAAAAAGTTTAAGAGTTTAAATAAATAATTAATTTTCGAATTTTTCTTTAAAAACATGTGTATATTCTCAGCACCTTTTCAAAATGTAGATTTTTTATGCAGTTTAACGTTAGAATTCTAAAATTGAATTTTACTTCCTTACTACTAAATTTCATTAGTTAATTAACAATTATCTATAGGTAGAACATAATCAATACTAGAGGGGCACTCAGTAGAGTGCACACTTCCACCATGTAGCATTGATCATATTTGGCTCTCAAAAAATATGAAAACATGTCCGTCATTATCAATGGGCATGGATCATTTTTGAAAGGAAAATGAAGAAAAAAAAACACACGTTCACCAAGTTTCATCCAAATCCAATTATTTTTGACTGAGTTATAGAGCAAAAAATAGTGTGAAAAATTGGGCCCCACATTAATGTATATGGATTTTTTTTTGTGAACTTGCTGGGACCTTGACTCTCCAAAAACTAATCCCTTCTTAGTTGGATCATAGTCCAAATGTATACCAATTTTCATTCAAATCCATTCATCAATTTTCGAGAAATATCTTGCTGACAAGTACACAAACATGCACACTTTAATAAAGAAAGTCTTCCGGATATATCTGGAAATCCGGATATTTCTAAAAAATCCTGAAAACCTCTGGTTTTCTTCCGGAGAAACACATTTTTTAAAATTATTTAGTGTATTTTGGTGTTCCATGGCATAGATAAGCGTTTATGCAATCGCGCGGTTTGTTTACATTCGGCGACAGGGTGCTGCCATTTTGTAGTCTCGCAATGCTTGCTGGCGTGTACGATACCTTGTATGCTTATAATGCAAACTTCATGTCATGTCATATAAGTTTTGACATCCAATAGTGAAAATTATGAATTCCAAAGAATGCA